AATAGAGGCGTTGACTTCCCTGAATTCCCTATGGAAACCTATTGCACTCAATATATGGAATAAGATCTGAATTTTCAATAGCAATATGAAGTCACCTGGCATCTCATAAATCATTGAGAGAATTAGTGCGTGCACCACTAAAAAACACTTCCGACAGACCACTGAGTACTTTCGTCAACATCTGTCACTATCCTGAAAATCGAATAAACGGTTAGAAAGAATAGGCAATAAGGAACTCTTTCAACGAGCCAACCACGAAGAAATCATGCAACAAAGTTACAGAACAAAATGGAGATGGATTGAATACACGCCAAGGAGAATGTTGAGTGAAACCATACTCCAGTTGAGTCCTCCAGTAGGACCCGAATGGAAAACGACGAGTTGGACGTGTGTCCTATATTGATATGTAGGAGATTGTATGAGGAGTAAATGAAAGCTTACGGGTAAACGAAGGACTGCAGGGAACAGAGTGAAATGGAGGTGATCAACCTCTAAAGTGCACAAGTGATTATGTCACACCCTACACTATTTACCAATTTTAGTGTGTGTTTGTGGGCAAACATACATAGGGAGGAGTAATCATGCTTTGCTTGTAAGGGTGGGAGAGCGAGCATATCCCAAAATGGTTAGGAAGACAAATACACTGTGGAAAATCGATAGATGCAGGTGGCAGACTAACGACTTCGTCTATAGCCAAACATCTAATCGAGATGAACCATAAGATTGATGTTAACACAGCCTTTATGGTCATCTGTGAAAGTGGTCAAGGGAACTTATTGAAATACATGGAGGCTGTAGCTATTCGCAAAAACTCAAGCTCCCCGCCCTTCCTCTGTGTGTTCCAAAACAGTTTATTATTACTCTTAAACTGCCTTGGTAATCCTTATTTGGTTGGATTATCATACGTTAAGTTTAAATTATTCTTAAATCTTCTGTGTCACATAGTTTAATTTTCGTTGCCTTTAATTTTTTTCATATATGTCAACTTGACAAGTAAATGTGTGATTAGATTGTTCGAAATGTACAACATAAATGACACCTTTTATAACCTTGAAGTGACATGTCAGTTTTTCCTACCTCACATTCTACGAATCTGTTATGACGACTGATCACCACTGTTGTCTCCTATTTCATAATATTTTGTAACAAGATTTCAGACTATCACGTCTGTCACATTCAAATACTATTTATTTTGACACCCAGTAAGTAATCTGTTATTCTACGTTTAAGAAAAATGTATCCACCGCATAATTGGTCATTATTGTAACGGCAACAAAAAAATATATTTTGTAATTGTAAGAACCTGAAAAGAAGGATGTAA